AAGGAAATTAAATAGGACTTATTTGTACATTTTATTATGAAAGTAAATTTATTACTCAGAAGCGGTTACAATACTTGACCCACTTTGGTCGTTACAAAGAGTTGAAATATCGGGTTGTCACATCATCCCCCCGTTAGAGAGAATTTCGTCCGAAATTTAAAGTAGTAAAGATACTAGTGAACATGAAAGAGATGAGGGTACTTTTTTTCATCTGATCTTCGCGTTCCCACGTGAATTCGGGTCCCCGCTTGGCGTTCCAGCGAACCTTCACGATGGGTATGCGACTTTGTTTTGTTTGTTTGACCTCTCGGTCCATGATTTCTACTGGTTCTTCCACAAAGTTGAGGCTCTCGTTGATCTCGATTTCGTCGAGTGGGATAACAAGAGTCTCGTCGGATAGACACTTTTTCAAGTTTGAGACGTGGAAGGTTGGATGGATGTTACTAAGTTCGCGCGGTAGGTTAAGCTTGTAAGCCACAGGGCCGATTCTGGCAAGAATCTCGAAAGGCCCTATGTATCTTGGATTTAGTTTCCCACGCTTTCCAAATCGTATTAAACCCTTCCACGGTGAGACCTTTAATAAGACGTGTCTCCTACCTGGAATTCCAAAGGTTTCCTCCTTTGGTCAGCGTAGCTTTTCTGTCGGTCTCTGAGGCTTTCAATCGTTCACGAATCTGAACGATCTTCTCTGTTGTTTCACGTATGATCTCCGGACCGGTGAGAGTGCTTTCAGGAACTCTTCTTCCAGCTAACTGGGTATCGCCAACTTCAGTCCAGCACAGAGGGGATCTGCACTTTCGACCATAGAGGGCTTCAAACGGAGCAGCCTTTATGCTTGTATGATAACTATTGTTGTATGAAAATTCGACAAGGGGTAAATGAATATCCCATGCCTTTCCAAAATCAATCACGCAGGCTCTCAGCATGTCTTCTAAAGTTTGTATCGTTCTCTCACTTTGTCCGTCTGTCTGTGGGTGGTAGGCTGTACTCATGTCCAGCCTAGTTCCCAGGGAACTTTGTAGTGACTGCCAGAACCTTGAAGTGAATCTACTATCTCGATCGGAGATAATGGATATCGGAACACCATGCAGTCGCACTACTTCCCTTAAGTAAGTTCTTGTAAGCTTCTCCATTTTGTCAGTCTCCTTGATGGGTAGGAAATGCGCGGATTTGGTCAGTCTATCGACAATGACCCATATGGTATCGAGTCCACTTGTCGTCTTGGGTAATTTGGTTATGAAGTCCATAGTAATCCGCTCCCATTTCCATTCCGGTATCTCTGGCTGTTGTAGTAGTCCTGACGGTTTCTGATACTCGACCTTAACCTTAGCGCAAGTAAGACATTTACTCACGAAGGTAGCAATTTCTGCTTTCATGTTAGGCCACCAGTACAGTTTCTTAAGATCCAGATACATTTTATCTGAACCCGGGTGAACGGAATATCTTGAGTTGTGAGCTTCAGTCATGACTATGTTTCTGAAACCACCATGTTTTGGGGTCCAGATTCGGTCCATGAGATAGTAGGCTCCGCCACCCTTGACTTCTAAATTCTTCTCCATTCCTCGCAGGGATTCACCGCCACATTTTCGGGTTGCAAAGCTTCCATTTGTGCTTCCTTAATTTGTGTGGATAAGTGGGAATGGATAGTCATGGTCAGAGATTTGACCCTCCGACCAGTGTATTCCTTTCGACTGAGGGCGTCGGCTACTACGTTGGCCTTTCCAGGATGATATCGAATCTCACATTCGTAGTCATTCAGTAACTCGACCCATCGTCGTTGTCGCATGTTGAGTTCCTTCTGATCGAAAATGTGTTGAAGGCTCTTGTGATCGGTGAAGATGGTACTCTTTGTTCCGTATAAGTAGTGCCTCCAGATCTTCAGAGCAAATACACAGCTCCTAATTCGAGATCGTGTGTCGTATAGTTCACTTCGTGTGTCTTAAGCTGTCGGGAGGCATAAGCGATAACCTTCCCCTCTCTGCATAAGAACACAACCTAGTCCTTGATTTGAAGCATCGCAATACACTACGAAGTCTTCTATCCCTTCGGGAGGGATAGTATCGGTGCGGTGCACAAGGCCTGCTTTAGTGTCTGGAATGCCTTCTCTTGTTTCGCTTCCCAGTCAAAGGCCACACCTTTCTGGGTTAATGAAGTAAGAGGTTTCGCAATGCTCGAAAAGTTCTTTATGAATCTGCGATAGTAGCCAGCTAGACCTAGAAATTGACGAATTTCAGTAGGTGTCTTTGGTGCCGACCAGTTCTCAATAGCCTTAATTTTGGAGGGGTCACGTGTATCCCTTTTCGCTAACAACGTGACCTAAAAATTCGACTCTTCGAATCCAAAATTCGCATTTAGAGAACTTCGCATAGAGTTTTTCCGTTCGCAGTGTTTCTAGGACTTTTCGTAGGTGTTGACCATGCTCTTCCTCACTTCGAGAGTAGATAAGTATATCATCGATAAAGACGATGACGAACTGGTCCAAGTAAGGGCGGCATACCCTATTCATTAGGTCCATAAATACTGCTGGTGCATTGGTTAATCCGAACGGCATCACCACGAATTCATAGTGTCCATAGCGAGTTCGGAAAGCTGTCTTTGGAACGTCCCCCTCTAGAACTCGTAATTGGTGATATCCCGATCGCAGGTCTATTTTTGAGAAGTAGTTCGCCCCTTGAAGTTGATCGAATAGGTCGTCGATACGGGGTAGAGGATAGCGGTTTTTGACAGTAAGTTTGTTCAGCTCTCTGTAGTCGATGCACATACGGAACGATCCGTCTTTCTTCTTTACAAACAAGACCGGTGCTCCCCAAGGTGAGAAACTTGGTCTTATGAATCCTTTGCGAAGGAGTTCATTAAGTTGACTGGAAAGTTCCTGCATCTCTGCTGGTGCAAGACGATAAGGCGACTTCGCTACTGGGGTAGCTCCTGGAATTAAGTCGATTCTGAACTCGACTTGGCGTTGCGGTGGTAATCCTGGTAGTTCTTCTGGAAAGATATCGGGAAAGTCGCGTACTACCGAGATGCTCTTGATGTCCTTCAGTTCTTGACTTGTATCGACGATGTGCGCTAGGAATGCCCGACAATCCTTCCGCAAGCACTTTCGAGCTTGGATGCACGAAATGATGCGAAGGTTTGTACTAGATTTGTGCCGTAGATAACTAATGTTTCGTTGTTCGGGAGGTTAAGACGGACTGCTTTCTCAAAGCACATGATGTCAGCGCGAAGGAGACTCAACCAATCCATGCCGACTATGACGTCGAAACTTTTAATTTGTACCGGCATGAGATTGATTGGGAAAGAATGGCCGTCCAATGTTAACGTACAGCCCATGTATATGCAATTTGTGCTTTCGGTTTTTCCATTGGCCATCTCTACAGTGAATGATTCTTTTAACTTGCTAGGTTTAGGTTTAAGTAAATGGATAAAGTTTTGACTCACGAAGCTTCTCTCCGCTCCACTATCGAATAATATGCATGCGTATGAATTATCGAGAAGAAACGTACCAGCAACTATAGTTGGGTCAGCTACAGCTTCGTCGTGTCCTATTGCCAAAACTCGTCCTACACCTCCGGTGCCTGCTGCCTTAGGACAGTTTCTCTTGTAGTGGCCCACCTCGCCACAACCGTAGCAAGCCTGCCCTACACCCGCACCGGGAATTTGAGTGATCGGCTTTGCGGGTTCTTTGCAGAAACGAGCCGTGTGTCCTTTCCTGTTGCAGTTGGCGCACTGCATATCTCGGCAAGGTCCATGGTGGTGGAAATTGCACTTGGTGCATTTTGGGAGGTTGCCTACATAAGGCTTTGTTGGGTAGGTATTTGTAGGGACTGTAGCAGGTACAATAGCAGCATTTACTGACACGAGTTGTTTCTTTGCGGATTCTTGGGAAGATCCACCCTTTCCTTTGATCCACGCTCTCTTCCTGCCATTGTTGTTGTTGTTGTTGTAGTTGTTGTTTCCTTTCTGTGGTGCTGGTGCAGAAGTGGTTGAGTTCTGATGACCTCCGTAGTCGATCAGAGATTGTGCCAGTTCCTTAGCACTTTCAAAGGTGTCAGGTTTGGAAGCTAACACGCTTGACCGCATCTGGGGCGTCAGTCCCCAGATGTACCTTTCTATCTTCTTGCTCTCGGGAGCAATCATGTCTGGACAAAGGATTGCCAGTTCGCAGAATCTGTTGGTATAAGTAGCGATGTCGGTACCCACCATTCCGAGAGTCCATAGTTCGTGTTCAAGCTTTTGAATTTCTCCCGCGGGCAGTATTCTCTCATCATCATGGCCTTCAAGCTCTCCCAGCTTATGGAGTTTGCCACGATTAGGGTAAGTACTTTAACGTGACCATTCCACCAAGTTAAAGCTTTATCAAGAAGGGTGAAGGTTGCAAATTTGACCTTGCTGTGCTCGGGACATGAGCAGATTTCAAAGACTGCCTCCGTCCTTTCAATCCACTGCCTCAGGGCCATCACACCACCAGTACCATAAAACATCCGGGGCTTGGCATTGGTGAAGTCCTTATAGGTGCATTCTCGAGGTGGTCCATGACTCTCGCCATGGTTGGACGTGTGTGCGCCAGATCCCGAGACATTAGCACTTGAGTTATTGATCTGTGACATGGCAGCTGCCACTGCTGCGGTGACTGCTGCTTGAAACATTACAGCATCAAATTGGGGTGGTGGAGGTGGTGGTATAGGTATTTCCTCACTGTTGTTTCGCCTTGGATTCCTACGCGGAGGCATCCTTCAACTATAGATGGAAAGAAAACAAGGATAAGAATTTCATGAAATGGAAAATGTATGTGTCTCATGAATTAAATCGCTATAATTCAACAACAAATGATAGTATGAGTCTTAAAATAGAAGAATGAAAGTTATTTGTAAGACTGAGGTATGAAACAAGTATTTGGGTTCCCAAGGACCATTCAAGGTTCGAACGAAATACTCAGCATAGTAGTAATAGTGCCACTTATATTAATATAAAAGTTGTTACAACGATCAAGAAAATTTGTCCCCTATAAGGATCTCCGTTTACCAAGTTCAAGAAATTTAAAGACTTTTAGCCGAGGTCCTAAGCTATAACAAAATTTGAGTTCTTGACAAGCACTACTTGCGTCGAAAGTTGCGTTTGGAGCTTGACTCCGTATCTGATTGCTTCGACTCCATTAGACGCCTATCTAAAGCGGCTTGTTGTTCCCTTAGTTCGGCGAGGGCTGCAATAATTTGCGCTTGAAACGCTTCGGTTTGGAACTGAGCGTTGTCTTGCCTCTTGTCCAACCTACGGATGTCAGAAGTGTGAACCTGCACTTCTACGTTGATATCCCGGAGTCGACTAGCTTGTACTCCAGACTGATAGGACTGATTGGCTAACTTACCCACCATTACCGGGAGTGCTCGATCAGCCGAACTCCGCCACGGACATCATAGAAGTCCCGGCACATGCCGTAGGGAGGGCGTAGGTTTTGCTGTTGGCTCCAATGGTGGAGGTGACTTCCCCAGACGGGAGTCGGTCCTTGAAAGTTCCTTACGAAGACGGGAGGTTGAATGGGTGGTGGATCGATAACTTCCGGCTCTGAGTCGGTACCGGAGTCATCACCCACGTCTATGGGTTCCTCGTCCTCTTCGGGATCATCTTCGATCCATCCTCCGTTGCCTTGGTTGGGAAAGTAGGGGTCGCCAGGGTGGTGAAATCCAGCCATTTGACTATACGAGAATTAGGGTTATAAGAATTGAATAAAGTCGGAACATGTAAAACGTGTAAGTTAAACTAGTTTAGATAGCAAATACTCCTATAGTATTTAAATTCGTGTGTTTGATTTTTGTAATGGCTTGGTAAGGTTTGACATTGTTGCCCACTACGATCATTCCTTGATTCGTGCGTGTCAACTTGCCTAAATACTTGTAAAATTGTATAACATGAAAATAGTTTGTGGTATGCATGTAATTGTACTTAAATGAACTATTAATTTAAGTTGAACGAAATGCTGCTTAAGTGTAAAAAAAGAAATTTGTTTTGTCAGAGAGTATTAGTCCCTTAAGCATTTATAGTTTGTATATCTTATGTGGTTCGATATACTTAGTTCACTATAAACATTGCTCTGATACCAATCTGTCACACCCCAAACCTGAACGGCGGAAACGTTCGGGGGCGGATGACTTCATGTGGTAGCGTAACAAATGAATACATAGTAAAGAAAGCAATACAACCATCATATATATAATTGAAAGTTTACATTTGTCAAAAGTTACATGTTCAAAACCAATTACAATATGATGTCAAAAATATGAGATTAAACTGGCGCCGCAGCATCTCTTCTTCAAAAGCATATTAGTACCTGAAATTACTGAATCCCTGGGACATACAAGTAATTTTGAAAGAGTTGATCAGCATTTAAGCTGGTGAATTTCATAAGTATTTAAATGACAATGTTTAAATGAAATGAAATGTTTTATCTTTGTTTGTTTGTGTTTAGAAAATCCTATATTTTCTACTAGTAAAAGTAGCCTTCATTCAAGACCAATGTTTGTTTCCAAAATGTATGTAAATGTAAAATAAACCAATGAGTTTGAAAACCTTGTAAATCAATGCGTTTTTAATACCCCTTGTGAGTTTTATAACCATACTATTGACTCGAAATGCCTATACACAACGTTCTTCAGGCGTTGGAATGTTATGACGTTTGTCACCCCAAACGGTGGACTGTAGCTAACAGTCAGGGCGCGGGTTGTCAAGCCCGTATAGATCTATACACAAACACCATGCTCCCCCTCCAAGGGATTCTGGTATATAATACAGGACTTGAAATGTGTACTCGAACGTACATGAAGTTAGTGTCTCACAAACCCGTGGTATAAAAACAGATCTACTTGTTAAAATGTTACGTTTGTTCTTGTATACGAAAGTAAACTTCTTGAAATATATGTTTCTAGTACATAAGAGTTAGAAATCTGTTCGTAAAACTATACCTATTATAGTTTTAAAAAGTGTGCCTTGTTTGTTTTAGAAATACTTAGGAAAAGAATCATTTGTTTATGAAAGCATAGATTTTTGGTGTAGAGTCTACGATAGAAAAGAATAATTTAAGAACAGTTTAGTTTTATACATGCATTACAACAACTTTATATTTTAAAAGATCGAATGCTATTGTAACATATGATATATATTTATATAATTAAAAGTTCCTTTAAAGGTTTATAAATCGCATGTGATTTGAATATTTAACAGTATATAAAAGAGTTTCTTTATGTAACACACGATAATACTCGTGTGTTTTACTTGTAATCCCCCCCTTTGAAAGCATATAAAAGTATTTAGAATAATTAAAACGGTTGATTAAGGGGTATGAAACTCACTTGAAAGTTTTGGAGATAGCGAGATGGAAAACCGGGCAGAGTTTCGTCTCGGGAAACGGATTTTCCTCGGGATTCTCGGGAATCTCGGGAGTAAAATCGACCTTCGGGACTTGAGCCAAAAAGACCAGAGCTTCGGGTTTGAACGGACACGGAAAACGAGGCAAGGTTGTGAGAGAGAGGAGAGAAATGAGCCCTTTCTTTGGAAACCCTCGTAGCTATTTATAGGAGGCTGGTCTGCCTCAGTACGCGGGGCGTACGCTCGTACGCAGTGCGTACGCGTACGTCATGCGTGACCGAAGCCTCGACTGCCTCGGCCTCGGATGGGACGGGTCCCTGGGTACGCGGGTCGGATGGGACAGCGGGTCGGGTTCTCCGGATCGTGCGACGTGGACGGTTTGAGGCCGAGCTCCTCGGGTACGCGGGGCGTACAGGAGTACGCAGCGCGTAACTCGGATGCTGACTCCCCTTCGGATAATATCCGAATTTTGAATAAAATAAATAATTAATTTATTTAATAAACTTCAAAAATTCATATCTTCTTCATACGAACTCCGTTTTCGATGGTCTTTATATCCTCGCGTAGGTGAGACTACGCTCTTCAACTTTCGTTTAGACTCCGTCGGCAAATTCCGAAATTATTTTTTTATTAAATATAAAAATCTATCGTGTTTAAGGAATTTCTTTGAAAATTCGTAACTTCTTTATCTGATGTCGGTTTTTGCCAGACTTTTTACCGCTGGAATACCATTGTCGAGACCTTCGATTCTCGTTTAGGTCATTCCGGCCAAAAGTCGCTCGATTTCTGATTCGAGTTTTTAGCTGTCTGTTGCTAAGTCGAACTTGGAAAAATCATAACTTCGCTAAATGAAGTCGGATTTGGGCGTTCTTTTCACGTACGATCATGGTTCAAAGACATTTAATCATAGAAGGAAATTAAATAGGACTTATTTGTACATTTTATTATGAAAGTAAATTTTATTACTCAGAAGCGGTTACAATACTTGACCCACTTTGGTCGTTACAAAGAGTTGAAATATCGGGTTGTCACATCAACAATCTTTAATACTTCTGTTCTGTTCAAGAATGATACTGACCCTTTGTATTGGTGAATGTATATGTATATACTTAATTAAATATTTTAGTATTTAAAAGTATATATTCTTGGTCAGAGTGTTTTAGTCCCGAAGTGTTTATAATTCGTATATCTTTTATGGGTTGATATACTTGATTCACTATAACCAATGCTCTGATACCAATATGTCACACCCGAAAACCAAGAACGGCGGAATAATTTCTAGGGTAGAGGACGTCATGTACAGTATCATTACAATTGCATAATAGTAAAAACAAGAAACAACAACCATTTCATATATATATATATATATATATATATATATATAGTGATAATAGTTACAATTGTGTTCTATAAAGTTTAATAGACACCAAAAGTATAACAAAATAAGAGATGAGTCTTGTATATGCTCCATCTTCTTCCAAAAGCTGCCCTGTACCTGTGTATCTTTGACGTGAGGATACAAGTTATTTTGAAAACGAATAGGGATAATGTCACTGTAGCACATGGAACTTTTAATGTTTGGCTAATTTGGTCCTTAAAGTTTTTTTTGGTGCATTAGACCATTAAACTCGTAACTGACCTTTTAATTACACCATTTTAGCAACTTTTAGAAGGTTTCCCGGTTATACGATGTCATTTTGTCAATTAATATATATTTTTTGTCTAATCCGATGCCACGTGAGATATGCCACATCAATTAATGAAATACGACGCTTAAAGCCTTTCGTGTTCAGCTATCGAACTTCACTAGTCTTCTTCTTCATTATTGAGCTGTAAAAGAAACTGATTTAGGGTTTGTGAAGCATTCCTGTGATCGAGCTGAAAGAAACAAAGAACTCGCAACAATGGCACAATCGGAACCTAATGGACTATTTGCGATGGTGGAACTCAACTACCAAGGGGTATTTAATCGAAATCCTTTCTCTTACACTAGTGGTGTTAAAACCATCTTCAATGATGTTGAATTTTCTTCTATGACTTATTCTGAGTTTGTGACCTTCTGCGAACGTTTCATGCATGAAGAGTGTAAAAAGTTTTACTACTGTGAACCAGACATGTCCTTCATGGAAGGCCTTAATCCCATTTCAGATGATGTGGAATATTCTGCTTTTATTTTTGATGCTTATGGAACAAATGGTGTAATTTCGGTTTATGTGGATCATATTGGGGTTGGTGTTGATGGGTGGCATGATGATGAAGATAATGATGATGATGAACATGAGTCTTGTATTGATGGTGAAAATGAAGACAACATAGATGAACTTAGAAATGTTGCCTTTGAATTTAATGAGGATGTAGTGCATATGAATAGGACATCAAATGATCCTTTCTTGAGTAAGCTATGTGTTGATGATGAGGATGCAAACAACATTGTAGATGATGACAATGGGAGAGAAGTTGAAGTTAACATACAAGCTCATTCCATATTTAATGAGCTATTACACTGGAAAAAACAAAAACCAATTCTAGGGATGAGATTTAAGGGTCCAGGGCAAGTAAAATCAATGTTGTGTAACTATGCTGTAGCTAATGGATATCAATTGTGTTTTGAAAAAAATGATCGGACAAGACTTTTGGTGAGGTGTAGCAAAGGTGCTTGCACATTTAGATTATGGGCTTCCTGGATGAGTGATGAAGAGAGTTTCCAAATCAAGTCACTAAAAGCTGATCATAATTGTGCTAGGAACTTCAAGTTTGGATCATTGGTGACATATGCATGGATTGGGAGTCACTATACCAAAGAGATTGTAGAAAGTCAGAAAATAAGTGTAAGGAAGCTTAGGTTAAAGGTAATGGCCAAGTTTGGTATCCAAGTTAGTATGGGGCAATGTAGAAGAGCAAAGAAGTATGCACTGAAACTTGTTGAAGGAAACCTTGTTGAACATTATGGTAAGCTATGGTCATATGGTCATGAGATTTTAAGGACAAATCCTGGGTCAACTGTGAAACTAGATATGGAGGATGGGCCAGATGGAAAGAAATATTTTAGCAAGTTCTATTGTTGTTTTCAAGGAGTTAAACAAGGTTGGATTGAAGGGTGTAGAAGGGTAATTGGTCTTGATGGATGTTTTCTTAAAGGTGTTTGTAAGGGAGAATTGCTTTGTGCTATTGGGAGGGATGCAAATGACAAGATATATCCTATTGCTTGGGCAGTGGTTAATGTGGAGAACAAGCAGAATTGGAAGTGGTTTCTAGAGCTTCTCATTGATGATCTACACTTGAATTTAGGCAATGGTTTCAGTTTAATGTCAGACCAACATAAGGTTAGTATTTTACATAGTAATGCATTTATGTTAATTTTAGACTATCTTAATTTAATCTTTTTACTAATACAGGGTTTGATAAAGGCTGTTAAAGAGCTGCTGCCATATGTAGAGCACAGGCAGTGTGCTAGACATATTTCCTAGAATTTGCAGAAGAGATTTATTGGTTCCATATATCATACATTGTTTTGGAGAGCATCTAAAGCCACAACTGAGCATGCTTTTAAAGTTGTGATGAAAGAAATTGAGACATTGAACCCAGAAGCCCATCAATATCTCATGGAGAAAGATCCTAAAACATGGTCTAGAGCTTTCTTTCAAACTGGAAGGTGTTGTGATGCAGTTGAAAATGGGTTCTCAGAAAGTTTTAATGCTGTAATAGTAGATGCTAGGAAGAAACCCATAATAACCATGTTAGAGGAGATAAGATTATACATGATGGACAGAATCTACAACATGAAATTAAAGGGACAACAATGGGGAAATCATATTTGTCCAGAGATAAGGGATAAGGTGAATTTGCTTAAAAAAGCTCAAAGGCATTATCAGGTACTACCAAGTGGATTAAACCAGTTTGAGGTAAGGGGAGCAATAGATGCATATGAGGTGGACTTAGAAAAAAAAAACATGCTCATGTAGGTTGTGGCAATTGAATGGATATGGATGTGCTCATTCTGTAGCTAGCATATCCTTTCTTAATAGGGATGTAGAAGCCTATGTAGACAACATGTTTAGCTCAACCACATTTAGAAAGGCATACTATACTCCACCATTGCCTCCTATTAATAGAAGGATGCCTGGTTGGCCAACTACTAAGAGGAAGAATTCCACTACAGAGAATATAGGAACACACAAGGTTTCTAAGGCTGGAAAGAAAATCAGATGTAGTATTTGCAAGGAGATAGATCACAACAAGGCCACTTGTCCACAGATAAGGCCCCAAAAGTTAAATGTGAAGAAACAGAAGAAACAAAAAGTATGTGTGAACCAAAATGCAGGACAGGTAAAACAATTTAAAATATAAGATTAATTACATATAATTTGTTACTAATATAATTATATCATGCCATGTAGGGTAGTACAAGTGAACCACAACAACAAGAAGAGGTTGAAATGACTCCAATTGAGATGGATACTACTCAAAATGATATGCAAGTTGCTCCTACTGATGTTGAATCTAGTAGTGCAGGGGATTTTATTCAATATGTGCAATTCACTCCACCTAGAAGTTATGAAGGTGATGAGGGTGTTATGGGTGAGGAAGCTGATGTGGTTGAGGAAGCTGTTGTGGTTGAGCAAGTTGTTCAAGATGAGGAGGCTGAGGAGGTTGATCCTGTTATACAAGTTGATAATGTAAATGTTCAGGAGGTTGATGAGGTTAATCATAATGCCCAAGTGGATAATGGTAATGTTCAGGAGGTTGCTCCTGTTAACCAAGTTCAGCAGTTTGTGTTAGGCCAATTTCAGATATTTTGAAGAGGATAAGGAGAAGAAAGTCAGAGAGAATACTAAAGCTGAAATTAGGCAAAACAATTGGTGGTGTTGATGATCCAGGAAATTCGAAGGGAAAAGCTCTTGTAATTGATTAGTGTTTATTGTAATTTGTGTTTAAAGTTTATGTAATGGGATGATGATAAATTGGATTTTAAGTTTATGTAATAGGATGATGGTAATTTATATTTAAAGTTTATGTAATAGGATGTTGGTAATTTATATTTAAGTATGTGTGACATTAAAGGGTATTTTGGTCATTTAAGTATGTATGAAAGAAAAAGGGTAATCTGGTCATTTAAGTATTTATGACAGAAAAGGGTATGTTGGTCATTTATTTATTGATGACAAATAAGGGTATGTAGGTAATTCATTTATGTATGCAAGAAAAGGGTAATTTGGTCATTCCGTATTTATGACAGAAAAGGGTAATTTGGTCATTTATTTATTGATGACAGATAAGGGTATGTAGGTAATTCATTTATGTATGCAAGAAAAAGGGTAATTTGGTCATTTAAGTATGTATGACAGAAAAGGGTAATTTGGTCATTCATTTATGTATGTAAGAAAAGGGTAATTTGGTTATTTAATTATGTATGATAGAAAAGGGTATGTTGGTCATTTATTTATGTATGCAAGAAAAGGGTATGTTGGTCATTTATTTATGTATGACATGAAGTATGAAAGTATGTTACCATTTTAAGTAAAATCATGACATTTGGCTTTGAATATTTATGCATGGAAAAAATTGGAATAATGTGCATGCATGGGGATGTTTTATATGGCCCCGGATTTGGTTTTTTAATGGCTTCACAGGTCCCATTTTTTCATTATTAAAATGGTCCCCATACACATAGTGTACTTCCACATGGACCACTTCCTAATTAAATATATTTGTTGGGAATATAGACCATGCATATGTTTGATAAACATCATCTGATTATACAAAATGCCCTACAATTGGGACTTTGAATATTTTTTTACATTACTTATCATATGCCCTTTCATTAGGGACTTACCACCTTACAACATCAACACATTAAGGTTGATAACCCCAACTTATAACTAAAACCAGCTTCAATACATACAAAATGCCCTTATGGAACTGACTTTCTAGTCTGCCTTTACAAAAAATACAAGGGATCCCAAAAAAACAAAAGCTTACCCTAACCAACCAAACTAACTACATTGACCCCCCTAACTTCAAAACACATAGGACCAAGCAACCAAACAACAGGGCAACTATCATCCTGTACCTGCCTATTGACTTCATTGCATCATGAACTTCTTTCTCACTCTTTGCCACCTTATACTGCTCCTGTGACAGCAAAAACTCCACTTCAGCAATCCTTCTCCTCAAATTGTTCATCTCAGACATTTCATCTTTGGCATCCAGTTTCTGCTTCAGAGAATATAGCAGGTTTTTTGTACCCGTCTGCCTGTTCTTCATCTTTCCATTCAAAGAAGCTACATTTCCTCAACCTAGTCTATAAAAAGACAATAAAATTAGGGTTTGACTGACAATCACAAATCAACTACCTTTAATGTACCAGCGAAATGGGTTTTATTCACAGTGATCGTCAAGAAGGAAATAAAATTAGGGTTTTTAATAGATGAAACAAAATACAAATACACCATTGTCGTTTTTACAGAAAGAAACAACACATCAAACCATAAAATACTAACTTATCAAAATCAATAGAATCGGGACCAACCATACTGTTTTGACAATTCCAGAATCGCCTCCCAGGTTTGTTATCTTCCAACAAGTTCGTTCTTTAGCTGGAACGACACAATCACAAACCTTTACCCCTTCTTGCGACTGAACATGAGTGACTTGTAGCTGATTCCTTGATGTCGATGAGCTCGAAGACATTCTTCTTCAGGATGGAAATAGTCGGGGAGGGAGAAGCCTTTGACTTTTCAGAGAAGGGTATGTAAAGATTGAAAGGAGGTCCGAATGAGGGTTTCAATTAATAAGCCTATATCGACAACTTTACCACGTAAGCTTATTGGACACATCAGCGTGCCACATAAGCATTGTAACCGGGAAACCTTCTAAAATGGTGTAATTAAAAGGTCAGTTACGAGTTTAATGGTCTAATGTACCAACAAAAAACGTTAAGGACCAAATTAGCCAAATGTGAAAAGTTACATGTGCTACAGTGACATTATCCCAAACGAATATCAGCATAAAACTGGTGGGTTCATAAGAGTTTAGTGTCATTGTAGTATAAAAGTGTTTGCAAACTTATAGTATAAAAATTAAAATTTGTATTTATGAGTAGTAGAAATCCCGAGAAAATCCTATATTTTCCAGAAAGTACATTTGTAAGTCAATCTTTCAAGTGTGTAAAAGTAATGTTGTTGAAACCTTCAATTGTAAAAGTGTAGTAATAAATCTCATATACGTAATACGACTGAAGAAAAGTTAGGCTTGCTAACAGTAGTAGTGTTGTAACTTTAGTTAGTAATAGATCTTTAATTACTTCGGGATTTTAGTTCAGACTTTAAGTCTTAGTGTATTTATTTGGATGTAAGTTTAACTTCTATGAAGTAGTAGTGTACTGATGACCTTCCCGGTCATGCGTAGTGAAGTAGCGTAGTGCCACCCCTGGGCCTAGTCGGCTAGGACTATAGATAACAGTCAGGATGTAATAGTATCAGTTCCGTATAGATCTATACATATAGTGTTGCTTTCCTTTCGGGAAGCCCTGGTCACATGGTGTAAGTATAGTAGAGTGCCTTATAGAGAGAGATAGTGTGATATACTTTGTATTAGTGAATTCTCTTATGCTTTAGTATGATAGTGTTTTAGTATAGTAAGTAGAGTGTTCCCTTATACTTGCATTAACTTGTAATATTAACAGTTTATGGTGTGTATAATAGTAGTAGAGGTAACTAGTAGTAGCCTTAACTATACCTATTATAGTTGAATAGAGTATGTGAATTCCTGCTTCTGATCAACAGTAGTAATGAATAAGATAAAGACATTCATATCTAACACAAATATATAAGATATATAATTAAGAATTCAACGACACTCGGACGGACAACCAATACCCTAAAACCACATCAAACAAGAACAGGAAATAAGGCCAGCTATTGATCCTAAGTCCTTCAAGTCTTATTTATATAAACATATTAATGTAGATATATTTTTAAAAAGAAAAGTAGTTGGAACATAGTTTTGAAAATAGTTTAACAATAATTTAACCTTAAATGCGCAGTTGATAATTTGTCAAAACAGTTTTATTGATAAGTATCTAAAATTGTAAAGTAATCCCTTTTTGATGATAGATTGTAAATCACATATGATTTGATAATAAAACATGTAGTAATGGACTTGTATCCCCCCTAAAACATGTAAAAACATTTAAAAGGTTCATTAAGGTGTATGAACTCACCGGATGAGAAATCTGTTGACTATGATGTTTAAATGTCGGATCGAGGCTTGAAAACGTGTGAGGTTCCTATGTAATATTAAATGATACACAATTGTATCTAATTAGATTTAAATCACTAATTAATAGAGGATATACACCTCTAGTCGCAAAAACACTTCAATTCAAGCATTTGGAGTGACCCGGGTGACATTTATGGACATGTATGGCTTGGATAAGGAGTTTACTCTTCAAGAGTAAACTTTTAGA